TCATTGCAGCCTGGGCGAGGCGAATTCGACTGAGCCTAGAAACCCATGGAAGGCGCGCACCCAGGCAGAAACCATCTGTGTGATGTGATCGAGATGCTGCCAAACTATAGTCTTTGAGGCACCACATCATGTTTACGTTGACGAACCTGCTGCGGTCATGTTTGTACAGGTGGGCGATGCATGAAGGCGTCTGTACTACGTGTACTACGTTTAAAAGCAACCAACCCCTAGAGCAAGCCGATTGACGTGTTACTGTCAATGCTATGAGCCAGTAAGGATTTGAAGATTGTTCCATTTTGGGAAAGACTGGGTATTCGGTACGGGAATTACGTGCGTACATGACCTTGAAAGGGATACTGTTTACGAGATTTTGGTTTCAGCTTGTTTTACTTCAGCTAATGTTTCACGCCGTTTTGTGCCTGCACTGCCGATATGCACTGCCGATATGCAGTCATCTTTCATACTAAATCCATGCTCGTGTACCTGCAGAGGCCCCTATGTTGCGACCCGTATGCAAGGATAACACATGACCGACCTACTTGGGCGTTGGGCGGCTAGGACAGGACATTTGTACTACAGAAACACGGGAGCAACAGGGACTCGCTTGGGAAGCGGAAGAACTATGGGATAGATCAACTGACTACGGAAGTAATATGGACAGAAGCAAAAATAGAAAGGTTAGATATAAGCCATCCTAGCTATCTGACGGAGGATATCCATTAGTTATAAGACTTCTAAATAGTATAACCTAATCCTCAAAAAAGTGGCGGAGATCAGTGAGATAAATTTACTTATAAATTGTTATCAATATGATAAATCATTTGAGTGTTTACGTTTTTATTTACCGCCTCGAAATCATGAAACCTTCTGCGTAGACATGATTCTTACACTCCGTTGCGTTGACGGCGTCCGCCCCCGACTTTGACCTGGAAGGAAAATTTTCCGCTAGCCTAAAAACCCCCTAAACTTCACACTTTAATAACTCTATATATACGTAATACGTAAGAATAAAAAAATATTAATTAATAGCCTTTAATTAGGTGATTATAATAATATCTTTTTTATTTATATATACTACGTATATATAGAGCTATTAAAGTGTGAAGTTTAAGGGGCTTTTAAGCTAGCGGACACTAAACGTAACGCTAAAAAGAAAAAACGAAACCCCTAGTATATTACGTTAAACTATCTACTTAAAAACCCCTTAAAATCAGCTTTAACTTCACACTTAGCTAACTCTATACGTACATAATACGTGAGAATAAGAAAGATATCGTTATAATTACCTAATTAAGGGCTATTAATTAATATATTTTTTATTTATATATATTACGTACGTATAGAGGTATTAGTATATAAAGTTTAGGGCGATTTAGTAGTTTTTCGGTAAAAAGCCCCTTTTTTTACCTTTTTCGGGCTAAAAACTGCGGGGTGGACGCTGTTAACGCAACGGAGTGTACTACCCACTATTTTTTGTTCTCATGTTTTTACATTGTCCAACTCGGAAAGACCCGAACCGTTGGATTGGTAGAAGAACTCATTTAGGATGGTCAACAGAGGTGCGTTTCTAACGAAGCCCCATCATTGCTTGTAAGATTCTGTAAGTCTGCTTAATGCTCAAATCTAACCCCCAACGGACCATTCAAGTCTCTAAAATCACCCCGAAGAACCTCAATACCATCTCTCTTAACTTCATCCACAAGTTCCTTAATCTTAGGCGCCATCCTTGTTGCCTTGAAACCAAAATAGTCGTACGCAGCCTTGGACGGCAGACTCTTGCCAAACCGGCGCATCGAGAACGAAGCATCGGCGTACCTCTCCCAGCCATTTGCCGCATACGCCTCAATTACCACTGTCGGCTTGCCCGACCGTGGCTTCAAAACGGACTGCTTGTATTCGCGCGACTGTTGCTCAAACAGCCGCGGGCATGGGAATGACACCACACGTGCCTTGACCCCGTCCTTCTCCAACAGCTCCTTCGTCTCCATTGTGAAGCCCATTTCTGAGCCCACACCGATGAGGGTCACGTCAAAGTCGTCCCTCTCAACGAAGACATACGCACCCTTGGCAACGCCGTCACGAGACGAGTGCTGGGGGTATTGCGTCAGGTTCTGACGCGACAGAGAAATAATAGTGGGCGTCTCGGTTGCGTTGATGGCCGTTATGAAGGCGCCGGCCACTTCTTCCGAGTCGCACGGGCGGATGTAGAGCGTATTCGGCATCGCGCGATACAGCGCGGGCAGGGCGATGGGCTGATGCGTTGGGCCGTCTTCGCCGGTGCCGATGCTGTCGTGGGTTGCGATGTGGATTTGTTGGAGGCCTTGCAGGGCAGCCATGCGGACGGCGGGTGCAGCGTAGAGGTAGAACATGAAGAAGGAGCTGGTGACGGGGAGGAATGTGCCTTTTCTGAAGGCGGCGAGGCCGTTGGAGATTGCGCACATGGCGTGTTCGCGGATGCCGTAGTGGATGTAGCGTCCGGAGTAGTCGCCGTTCAAGTTGCATGCGGTTCGAAGCTCGGGCTGAAGGCAGGTTAGAAGTGGTCCTTGATCACGGGCAAAAAGAGATTGGACTCACGGATTGGAAGTCAACCTTTTGGTTGTATGCGACATTGCATGACGGGGTCAAGTCGGCGGTGCCGATCAGGAAGTTTCTCATCTTCTCTCCGAGCGGGTTGCCGACAATGCCCGCAGACTTTCGAGAAGACGTGGGCTCCGTCGGGAGCTGGTCGTGACTCGGGATGTACTTTGTCCAATCGTCGGGCATCTTTCCGTCCACGCGGAGCCTGAATTCGGCAGCAAGTTCGGGGTGTTGCTGGGAGTACTTCTGGACAGTGGAAGACCAGTCGGCTTCGTAGGTTTTGCCACGCTCAACGGCGTCAGCAAAGAAGTCGTAGACGTCCTTCGGGATGTGGAAGTGTTCCTCAGGGTTCAGACCGAAGCTCTTCTTGATGTTGGCAACATCATCAACACCGAGGGCGGCGCCATGTGTCTTTGCGTCACCAGCCTTAAGTGAGCCGAATCCAATCGTTGTGCGAACGTTGATGAATGTTGGACGGTCGCTGCTTCGCGCAGCAATTAGAGCGTTGGCAATGGCTGGAGATTATCGAGTCAGCAACGAGTCTATGAAAGAAGCGTACCCAAGAAAGTAACCTACCGGCAACGTTGGAGTTTCCATCAAGGACCTCCAACACATTCCACCCAGTTGCCCTCATTTTGGCGTTGATGTCTTCCGTATTCGCCACATCCGCTGTTCCATCACACGTGATCGAGTTGTTGTCGTAGATAATGCAGAGGTTGTTGAGCTTCCAATGGCCCGCTAGTGACACCGCCTCAAGGCCAACGCCTTCCTGGAGACATGCGTCGCCGATCATACACCAGGTCATATTGTTCACCACCTCAAATCCCGGCTTGTTGTATGTTGCCGCGAGGTTCTTCGTCGCCATCGCAAGGCCCACCGCGTTCGCTACGCCTTGGCCGAGAGGGCCTGTAGTGACTTCGACGCCTTCATTCTCGATTTCGGGGTGGCCGGGACAAATGGAGTCGGTCTTGTCAGAGTGATATGATTTAAGCTGCTCGACTGTCATGCTCTTAACACCGATGAGGTGCATGAACAAATATTGCCAAAGGCAGGCATGCCCTTGTTTGAATTAGCAATCAGATCCAGAGTGGGATATTCAAGAGAGGCCTACCGTTTGAGAGAACGAATCTATCTCGGTTGAAATACTCGCAGTTACTTGGCGAATACTTCATGACATACTTGTAAAGGGCAATGCCAATAGCTGCCATTCCCATGGCGGAGCTACACCGAAGGTCAGACAAGGTCGCCAATTGAAGAGCCAAATGATCATCGTAGCTTACCCTGGATGACCGCCATTGAACTGCTGACATTGATCAGCGATGAAGGCCCGGAAGACCTTCAACACTCTGTCATGTTTGTCCGAGCTCTCGAATTGAAAGTCGGTCACTGCAGGAACACCATGAACGTTCGTGACGTTCGGCTTCACGGGCAGATTCTGGGTGGCCTTCTCGTAGAGCTCAAGTGACGGCGCCATGTTGTTGGATGCTGGTGTTAGTATGCTGCACAACGAGTGCTTCTTTGGTGATCTTCGAAGAGCTTTTCGCCCATGATGAGGCTACAAACCTTTTTCTTATAACTTGTTGAAACCCACGTCATGTTGCTTTGTCTGTGGTTGTCATGCCGCCTGAGGGCGAAACAAATTGCCCCGCGTCGTGCGGCTTGTGGTTCAACGTCCGATGCGACGCCAGATCATCGCCCATGGGGAAAGAAGTCTGGTGCGGGGATGGCCCTATCGCAGCTCAGTACCACTCGCAACGAAAAGACGCCGAAGACGGTTCTGAGTTGATGATGGTCAAGCTGGAATCTGTCCCGAAGCGAGGTGCCACGAAGCGAAGCCAGTGCCTTTGTTGTGGAAGGCCTCGCGTCGAGGCCACAATTGTGGATCCTTTTCAAGCACTCGCCATGGGAATGTGTCGGACTCTAGAGCTCACCCCGGGATGACTTATCCAATTTGCAACGGGAGTATGTCTCTTCTCTGGATGTCTCCCTGAGCTTGTTTCACTCGGTCAGGTACGCGTCTTGGAATAGGAAGCGAAGGCGTCGAAAACTATAGGCGGCGAAAGATGATCTATCGCTGTTGCTTGTCACTGATCCAGCAGACTATTCTAGCGTAGTATGCTCCCGCCGGTTAACACGCCATCTGAACTATGAATACAACATGTCGCCGCTTGAGACCACTAAACTTGCTGGCGCGTTTGCGGGGACTGCGGGGAAAGAAGCAGGGATTTGAGGCGCTGAAACCGCTCTCCACTACATAGTACGCATTCCAGTTTACTTAAAGGCTGGAATAGCCTCGAGACGAAGCCGGGCGATCGACTGATTTCGATGTTTACCAGGTCGCCAACAAGGCCCAGCGAACCTTACTCCGTTGAGAGACTCTACTCTCCGCAAGACCGGCACTATCCTCGACGCGAGATCGGCCAATGGAGGCACCCGCAAGCAGCAGACGACGGTCAACGGCCTCTTCGGTTGCGACACCTGGGCAAGAAAGTCGACCGCGACGAGTCCGGCCGTCTCGAGCACGAGGCCTACGAACATCCACAGGATGGTGAGTTCTTCTGTTTGTGTCTTTTTGTGCTAAGTGGGGTCCTCCATTGCTAATTCATGCATACTGGCTGCAGTTTGACATGTAGGAGGCGGCGTATCAAGTGTGACGAGGGAAAGCCGAAATGCGTCCAGTGTTCCAAGTCAGACCGTGACTGCCAGTATGCCCAAGCTCCCACCGGCGAGAACGACTCAGAGACTCGTCGACGCGCGGACTCTACGATTTCCAACGCCGATCAAAGTGCCGAGGCCGACAGCGTCGAGGATGCTGTGCCAACTACGGAACCTGCGGAGAGTGCACTAGCCACTTCGCCAGCCGCAGCAGACACAACAGCATCACCGGCCGCTCGCCCGGTCGACTTAACTGCACCTTTCGTGTCCTCCTTCAACCCGGCCGGCTCACTCGGCGTCGACAACAGCGCCTTACAGCCCGCTGCAGTCTCTGATGCGGATCTCGGCTTCTCACCCCTAGCACTGAGCCAGACGTCACTGCTCAACATATCCCCCTTCGAGTGGTACGATTTGCTTGCTCAGGATGCAATCAACAATATCCAACGGCTCAACAGCCTGCCGAATGGCGAGGTTAGATGGGTCTTTGATGAGAGTACCCTGTCTCGGAGACAGACCCCCTTGCCAGAGTCGCCGACTGAGCAGGACGACCAGCTGCCCATCTTTGGTCGAAGCGAGGGCCACACTACTCCCCCCTGGAACACCTCCAGCAATATTGAGCTCTCCGATGATGAGTTGGTTCATTTCCGTTACTACGTCGATGTTGTGGGACCGATCTTGGATCTCTTCGATCCTGAGCGGCATTTCTCCAACATGGTCCCCCATCTCGCTGTTCGTAACGCCGGACTTCTCAAATCCATCCTGGCTGTCGCTGCTAGACACATGTCCTTGGGACCCAATCCTAAAGTCTCGAACTCTGGCGGTAAATGCCATCCTCTAGCAGATTCATCTCTTGCTGGCAGCCCAGCACAAGAAGAAGCGGCTCGCTCGGCAACCCAGTACTACTATGAGACGCTTCAGTATCTGTCACACACATTGCTATACCCATCCTATGCCAACTCACATGAGATCCTGGCCACTGCCATAATGATCAGCACTTACGAAATGTTCGACTCAAATGGGCCCTCCAACAACGGGGATTGGGAACGCCACCTCCGAGGAGCGTTCTGGATTCAACGATCGCAAGATAACAACGCCGAGTCTGCAGACAGTTTCAGGAGAGCAGTGTGGTGGGCGTGGATCCGCCAGGACATTTGGGCGGCCTTCAGATCTGGCCGTCGAACACTGACTATCTTCCAGCCCCAGAAGACACTGCAGGAGCTAAACCCAGATGACCTCGCCAGTAGGGTGTTGTTCATTGCTGCAAAGTGCGTCGCATACGCCGCGTATGATGCGTCTTCTTCAATGCAAGACCTACAGCAACGAATGAACCTCGGGAACCGTCTCCTTCGGTCTCTGGAAGAATGGCGTGAGGCGCTGCCAGCTTCCTTTACTCCTATCTCTGGAGGAGCAGTCTCGGATTCGGTGTCTAGAGCGAGCCTCCCGAGCTCAGCTTCCCCGTCTATACATCATGTCGGTCAAGATCCGGGACCCGCTGCAACTCAGGGCAAGGGGGTTTTTGACCCAATCTGGATTCATCCGCCCAGGAACGCTGGGGCGATGCAGATGTATCATTTTGCACGGTCAGTGGTTCTCCTTGCCCAGCCGTCCACGGGCGGATTAAACGCCTACAGGCGACGACAGCGGCTTCTCAATGAGAGCCTACATAGTGTGTGTGGTGTTGCCAAAGCTTGCAACGAGAATGATCCTGCACTGGCATTTTTGAATGTGCAGGTGATGTTTGCTGGTGAGATTGCGTGCTGCGATAGTACGATGAATTGAGCTAACGGGTTATGTAGTCGGGCAATGTGCCCAGAATGGCGAGAAACAGACGGAGTTACTCGAAACATTAAACCGAGCAGTCGCGATCAGCAGCTTTCCATCAAAAGGGCTTACCGATGAGCTCGAAAGGATATGGAAAGAGGGATTCTAGTCAAGCTGAAGAATCTAGCATCGATACCCCTACCCCACGTGAAACTGGCTCCTTGATTGCGCCTCGCGCAGCTCTTGGATTTGCAACTTATTGCAGCTCGACCTTTTTTCTTGCTGTATGTCTTGTATAGAACAACATTGCCAATCACGAACCTAATGGCCTGTATTGATTTGGCTGGTCGTATGTTTCCTACTGCTCAGAGAATAGCATTAGAGCTGCTCTTCTCACTCACAAAGGAAGCGGGTAATCATCGTTAATTGAATCGCAAGGACGACCTGGAGCAGCAAGAACTAGTCGCACGAGGAACACAATGAAGACTCCGAGAAATACCTAGAGAGCAGGAACAGCAAGGAGAATGTCGCGATAGAGAGGCACAGCGAGGGGATGACTGAACTTGGTGCTCAATGATATCAGTAGTCATAGATCCTCTATATTCTATGGTGGATGACCTTATCATATCTCTCGCCTGCCCCTTTTCCTATCCGTTCCCTACCAGGCACCAACAATTCCAGCCACAGGAATGTCAATGCCTGTTGTGTATGAGGCTCCATCCGACAGCAGATACACATAAGCGCCACCGAGCTCCTTCGGGTCGGCTAGCCGGGGCATACCCCCGTAATACTGCATCTTCAGATTCCAGTCAGGGGCCTGGTCGACGAAATAGGTCATTGCAGTCTTGACGAAACCAGGAGAAATCGAGTTGACCCGGATACCGTGCTTCGCCCACTCCATGGCGAGTGTGTGGGTCATGTTCCTGACAGCACCCTTGGTCGCACCATACGGCGCTGACGGCGCCGCGCGGTTGGGGCGATACGAGGTCATAGACGCGGTGAAGACGATCGAACCCTTGATCCCGAGCTCGATGAAGCGCTTGGCGACAGTGGTCGCGCAGAAGTAAGCCCCGAAGACGTTGAGGTTGAACAGCTGCTCGAGCTGCGCGCGGCTAAAGTCGAGCGCCGGCTGGTGTTTTGTCATGCCAGCGTTCGCGACCAGGCCGTGGATGGCGCCCTCTTTGGCGATGATGGTATCGATTGCGGATGTGACGCTCTCTTCTGAGGTGACGTCGCAGTGGAGGTATTGGATGCGCTTGGGGTTTGCCTTCTGGACGGCCTGGAACTCTTCGCCTGGCTCGAAAAGGTCCAGAGAGTAGACTACTTTGGCATCGTTGGCTAAGCAGACTTCAGCGATGCCGAGGCCAATTCCTCTGTTGGCACCGGTGATTGCGACAACCTTGTTTCTCAGCGATACCTTCCAGTCATGGTCTGGGCCGGGCTGGGTGTTGAGGAACTCCGGGGTTGTTGAAGAGGGCGGGGCAGCCGCAGGGAGTGTTGTTGAGGCAGCGCCATTGTTGGCTTGTGAGTCTGAGGTTGCGCTTGGAGACATGTTGGCTATCAGGACCCAGGATGATGTGACCGTGAAGAGAGGACTTCGCTGATTTGTGGGGTTCTGATGGGCTGATAAAGGACGTTGAAAGGCTGAATGGTTTACGTTGGTAGGGAAATTTAACACGATGATATACCAGTGTGCAGGACTTATGATATCTTATTGTCTGGCTCGTAGCGGATGCCGATGTGCAGATCTAGGTCCCACTCCGAGTTGACACAACGAGACTTCAGCGGAATTCTCCTAGCAGACATCGGCACGAATGCTGGACTTATCCGACCATATTCCCCACTCAGAACTGCCGAAAAACAATTCCAAGAGATGGAGTCACATGGCGTGGTTGTGCTACGAATTCCATTCGATGCGACATAGACGGCGACGGGGACTCGCTTCGAGGCATAGCTGAGTATGGCCTTCGCGTCGAGGCAACCCGCTATTTGTGTCTCACCCGGGCAGCCGATGGGGTTCCCCTCATCCGAGAACCACACCATCCAAGTTCATGGTGCATCCCTGGTAACCCCAAATTCCGGGGAGTACAACTCTGGGGATGGTCCCCACGATTCCTCCACGGGGTGGTTAGTCGCTTTGTGGAGAGCTGGAGAGAGGAAGGGATAGGGGTTCGGGGAAGGACAAAGGAATTTGCGGAGTGACCGGCTGGCTAGCCTCTGGACTGCACCAGCAACTGAGGCAGTGGATAAGCAGGGACACCGACACTTCAAGTCATTCTATAAGATTGAGCTGTTGTACATCTTTGCACCACTTCTACAAGCGAAATGTCAGCTTAATACATCCTGTTTCTCGATATCTTCACGTTACCATTCTTTCTATTGAAGATCCATAAGAGGCAGCCAAGACTCCAACTCGCTATCCACGATGGTGTCTCGAAGACAGTCGTCTTCTCCAAGCATGGAGGCGAACGACCAGAAGGAACTTGGGAATCAGCCCGAGCACATCGAAACGTCCGGCCCGACAATCACTTGGACGGAAGAGGAGGAGAAAGCTCTTGTTAAAAAGATCGACCTCTTCCTGATGCCTACCATCTGGTAATACGATGCACGGTTGTGACTGGCGACTCTAGAGAGAATGCTGACGATCACCTTTCAGGTTGATGTACCTTTTGTCATACATGGACCGAACCAAGTCAGTGCAAAAACCCTTGACGTCAACAGCCAATGATTTAACTGGACAGCTTAGCTAACATATGATTCTGTGATACAGTATTGGAAATGCCAAGATCGCAGGTATGGCCGACGACATTGGCCTCTCGTCGTCTCAATACAGCATCGTCTTGGTCGTGTTCTTCAGTGCGTTCTATCTCCTACTTATGACGCCCAGCGCTATGAGTCTTCTGACAACGTGTAGTTGGCTACGTCCTCTTCGAACCTCCCTCCAACATGATCCTCGTCCGAACCCGACCGTCGCTATATCTTCCCTTCATAATGGCTCTCTGGGGCGTCCTCACATGCATCATGTCCGTCGTCAAGGAATACCATCACCTCATCGTGCTTCGTGTCTTTGTTGGAATAATGGAGAGTGGTTTCGCTCCTGGCATTCTTCTCATCATCTCTTCCTGGTATCGACGCGGAGAGCAATCGAGGCGTTTTGCCGTCTTCATGTCTGCAGCAATTCTTTCCGGGGCATTTGGAGGGTTGCTTGCTGGTGCGATCACGAGTGGCTTGGAAGGGGCACACGGGATCCGGGGGTGGAGGTGGCTCTTCATCGTCGAAGGTGTTGCCACCATCGGATGGGCCGGCATCTCGGCTTTCATCTTGCTGGACTTTCCTGCAACTTCAACGAGACTGACACCCAGAGAGAGAGAAATTGCGGTCGCGAGGTTGCAAGAAGACAATGTGACTGTTCGAAACGCAGATGAGAAGCTCGGTAAAGGGAAGTCTTTCATGTTGGCACTGAGAGATTGGAGAACATGGGGGTTCATCTTTGGCTACATGGTAAGATTCACAACCTGGTTGCCGTCATTAGGATCCCTCATGCTAACCAAGACATAGGTGATTGTCGGCTCTTCTACACTCTCCTATTTCTATCCGACTCTTGTCCATGGACTTGGCTTTACATCAACGGTCCAGGCTCAGTACATGACGGTACACCCACCTCATTGGATGCCAGTTGTTGGTGCTTTCTAACAAAAACCAGGTCCCCATCTACGCATTTGCTTTCGTCTGCACGGCAATTACCGGCTACTTCGGCGACAAAATACCCGATCATCGCGGACTAGTCATCGCTGCCTGGCTCGCATTCAGCATGATCACCTCAATCATCGTCTGCGTAGTGTACAACTTTACAGCGCGATACGTTCTGCTTGTTCTCATGGCCGCTGGATTGTGGGCTTCTAACGCGATGTCTCTGTCCTTTGCCAGCTCAACTTTCGGAAGCATGGACGCCGAGGTTCGTGCGATTGCACTGGCGCTAATGAATGCTCTCGGAAACTTGGCGCAAATCTATGGCGCATATCTCTTCCCTACTGACGATGCTCCGAAATATCTCATGGGTTTCGGCGTCATTTCTGGCATGTTGGGCTTTGGTACGGTGGTTTATGTAATTATGCACATCCTGGTCAGACGTTGGATGCCTTGAAAGACGAGCGCTGATCTGCAGGGAACATGTCCAACTCATTCATTGCGTACTACCTGCATTTCGCTCGTCATGGCCATCACGAGGAAGCTGTCTCTTTCATTGAATAGATGAATTTAGTGGAATCATTGTGATAGTATCTTGATTAGATCTAAACCCCGCCAGCCCGCCTGCGACATCTAAGTGGAACCAGTCTGTCTTGTCGATCTCACACAGAGGTCCTCCATGATAGCTATGGCTACTGCTGAATGTCACACATTCCATCCATGTCTATAAGGTGTACCGGAACTATGGACTTTGTTAGTTGCGAAGATAGTTGAAGACAGAGCGGTACTTACGTAGGGGTTCTCAAAGTCAGTGTAGTCCGCCTCGCCGTACTCCTTGCCCTTCTTCTGTCGCTCCTCGGCAGTCAGACCGTCGTTTGCCTGCTGCGCATCTCTCTTCTTGTTTCTTCTGACCAGGACAAAGCGCCAGGTCAGAATGAGCGCAAATTCAAGCCCGAAGCAAATGGCACATCCGATAGTTCCAGGGGTGTACTTCGGCGCGTCCTTCTCCTTGAAGATCTGACTTCCCACCATGTTGCCAACGCAGTATCCAACGAAGGTGAAACTGCTAGTGATGGTACGCTTAGTGCGACCGGCGGTGTTGCTCGGAATGAGGGTCCAGGCAAGGAAAAGACCAAGCACGAAGGGAACCGTGATGAAGTAGCAACCCCACTTGGTCCACTTGATGGCGGGGTCGTTGGGGAGGAGCGACATGCCCAAGAATCCTGCAAACGGCGGAAGGACGGAGCCGGCCATGAAGAACATTCGAAGATTGGACCACTTGCTGCAGGTCAAGCCGACGCAGATGAAGATGACGACTGACATCACAGATCGGGGAATCTCGATCAAGATGGTCTGCAAGCTGGCTGTATGGGAGTCAACATCTCAACTCGAATAGGTTGGAAAAAGTGCTGCTCACTAAAGCCGAAGGATTTGATGACGATGCTACCGAAGGTAGTCAAGCCACCGTTCGGCACAGAGCTGAGGAAAGCATTCATGCCAGCAAACCAGAAGCAAGGGTCCATGAGACACTCGCGGACTTGCTTCCACTTCCAGCCCTTAATAGCGGTCTTGTCGTTTCCGGTGTTGTTTGATCTGATACGAGCGCTTGCCTGCACGAGGTTAGACAAGATAGCATCTGACGATTTGAAAGTTCACTCACCATATCCTTCTCCTCCTTGTTTAACCAAAGCACCTCCGATGGTGTGCCGAGAAGAAGCAAGCAAAGGCATCCGACGAAGGTAGTAAGACCTCCCAAAAACTGTCTAGTTAGTACTGCTATTCGGGCATCATCTCGTGATTGTCGACTTACGTAGGAGATGTATCGCCAAGGTTGCACTCCTTCTCTACCCTGGGTTGCGGAACCAATGGCGTACATGATCAGACTGGCAATGACACCAAAACCAGCGTTGGCACTCTGGAATACAAGGGAACGAGATGCATGTTCACGGGTCTTGTACCACGTTCCGACAAGAAGCATGAATCCCGGGCTGATACAACACTCGAATGCTCCCTAATATTCATATTAGCGAATGGAAAACTGGCGTTAATGTGTCTCAACATACCTGAAGAGCACGAAGCGCAATGAGGTGAGTAAAGTTTTTAGCAAACCCGATACACAAGACAATGATGCCCCCTGTTGACGGATTTCAGTGAACCGTTCTCGGTGTATATCGCATGAGCGGATGAGGCTTACAGCAAATCATGTAGATTGACAGGGTTCGACCCATCTTGTAACGTTGGACGACGACATTGCTTGGGAATTCGCAAACCATGTATGTGATGTCTAAGTTCCACTATGTCAGTACTGTCCCGGGCTTGTTTCGGAATGTGGGGGAGCGATCACGTACAGAAGATGGTCGTCAACCACGAGTACTGCTGGCCCACCAGACCGGTGTCCTCACGCAAGCCGAAGATGGCTTGTGTTCCCAACGCAGTCTTGTCTGTTTGCTGGATACCATAACAAAGCCACATGAGAGGAAGCAGGTAGCGGTCAATCTTCCTTTTCAACTTGTGGAATTCTTCCTTCGTGTAGCGGCCCTCGACCTCGACTGCGAACTTTGATCAATACTGGATGTCAAAAGTTGAAAGGGCCGGAGATCATACTCAGATGCGAATCGCCGATCACTTCACTCTTGGTGTCTGATTGCGCATTGTCATCAGACACAATCGCGACCTTCTTCTCCTCATCAACGACGTGAGGTTCGGGTTGAGAACCCATGGTTGTTGCGGGGTCAGGCAGACACCTGAAAATGCGCACAAGAAGGGACGAAGGTAGGAAGGTTTACAATATGACAGCTTCTGAGCGACGTGCTGGCGAAAAGTCACCTGGCTGAGAGCGAATAGTTGGGATCGGCTTATATCACTACTACAAACTCTACCCCAAATGCCGGAGGCAACACATACCCTGGTCGGCAGCCAACAGTCCAGATAAGGATTCCCGCGGAGTCAACCCCCAACTATCGGGGGGCGACATCAAAATAGCCGACCAGAGGGCTGGACGAGACCGAGCTGGTGGGACCTCTGAACCAACATGGTAAGTGTGCTGCACTTGGCAGATATATCTCGTCTCCTCATCGGACGACGTCAGCTGCGGCTCCAATCAACTTATCTTCGCCCGTCTTGGCAGACATTAATCTTCAACGCCTAGGCGATAAGATCAGAGAGGCCGCAAGGAGGGCACAAGCTATCGGAACAAAGATTACCGCCCCGGAAAAGATAATGAGACGATGGGTAGACAGAACTATGCGGGGAGTTGATTGTCACGTTCCATTGATGTGCGCCGTCGAGCTGCATGCATGATGTCCTATTTGGTAGGTCGGGTGATAGGGTTGGATCCGGGATGATAAGCGGAGGATAAGCCGGGGAGGCGGGGTTCAGGCCGTTGTAGCCGACCAACCTCGTCCGTTGACTGGGGTGTTCATCTCAAACAGCATCTCAGAGGACAAAGTTGAAGATGGAATTTAGAGCAATTGATATGTTGGCCTTACATTCATTGACTGAAGTAATCCTGGTGTATGAAAGCTCAAGTCTGCTGAAAATGGTTGAATGCGCTTCCAAGCCCGATTCAAATCTCACAGCTTGTATCTGAAATGAGGATTCTCCTTATCGGTGCGGTCCGTGAAGCCAACCTCGTTCACCTCGGTATCGCCATGCCCCGCGTTGACGTGCGCGCCCCCTGTCATTTCAGCAAGCCGCGCGTCGCGCTTTCTGTTTTCCCACCACATCAAGCCGCCGATACAGGCCGTGAAAAACATGCAACTAGAATACATACCACAGAGCGCTTTGATGGCGGACATGTATCGAGGGGCTTCGTCGGGATCGAACATGAAGGGGCCGATGATGTTCCCTGCAGCATAACAGATGAAGTTTACACCATTGACCGTCATGCGCTTCGTGTGGCCGGCAAAGTTAGCCGCGACGATGGACCAATTCAGAATGATCGCAGCGCCAATTACCCCAAGAAGCCAGCAGCATGCGGTCAGTGCCAGGGGATGCTCGAGGGGAATGAGCGCGATGCCAATGATTCCTGCGATGGACGGAACACCCGCAAGTACGCTCATGAGAACGGTGATGTTCCTGTAACGCGAAGCAAGATAGCCTAGGATGACAGTTGGGACGAGTTGGAATGCCCCGCTGGGCAGTTGCCATTTCAATGTCTCGATGGAGTTGTATCCAAAGCCTTTGAGAAGGGCGCTGGTGAAGTTCGTGAGGCTGCCATTGATGATGCCAATGGAGATTTGCTGTAGAGCAACACACCATACGCGAGGCTCTAAGAAAGCTTCCTTCATCTGGTAAGGTAAGAATTGGCTGTGCTTTATGCCCGTGTGATTGTCGGCTACTCGCCAAACGGAGACCACCCGCTCCTCGTGGGTAAAGAGTTTAAAGTCAACCGGGCTTAACAGGAATAGGAAAAGTGCAATCCCTCCGATAAACAGAGTAATCACTCCAATGACCTGGTCATAGCCTGTTAGTATGGACCTTTGAGATTGAAGTAAACGATGAAAGGGTCCATACCAGAAAGATGAGCTGCCAAGGGGCCAAGGCGGTATGTGTCGTCGTGCCAAGTCCCCAGGAAATCCCCGAGCCAAGCATCAACGAGATACCGTTGCAGCCTAGCCAGATACACATTCTCAACGGCTGCTCGTCCCGAGTCCAGAACATGGATGTGACAAGCATCCATGCCGGGCCAATGCAAGCCTCTAGCCCGCCAAGAAGGAAGCGAAGCGCCATGATACCAGCAAAGTTCTTGGCGCCGACGGTGGCGACTAGCAATGTGCCCCAACACAGAAGCATGATCGAGACGAACTTTCCGATCGGAAAACGCTGGAGACACCAGCTCGATGGGTAGGAGAATAAGAGATAGCCGATGTTGGTGATCGAGGCCACCCAGGAATAGTCCCGCCCTTCGAGACCGAGGTCGGCCTGGAGGCCATAGGCATTCGCATAGTTGAGCGTCTGCTTGTCGAGGAAAGACATGAGGTAGATGAGACACATCTGCAGGAATTCAGATCAGCTTCTGCCTTCTACGATGGTGGTCCTGGTGAAGGAAGGTGTATACCGAGGGCAACAAAATGAAGTCAATCTTTCTCAGAACCTGTTTGGCGATGGCGTCTCTACGTGCCGGATCCATGGCTTGGGATTCGAGATAGTAGTCGTAGCCAATGTCCGTGTGACCGACCTCGACAGTACCCTTGGAGAGGCTCTGAATATCCGTTTCAGGCATGTTTGCCTCGGGCTTCATGCCCTCGAGATCGGTGAGAGACATATTGCCGCGGGCTCACCGTTGTCGAAGGTAAGGGTATGAGAAGATATGATACCGTCGAAAAGGTTAATGTGACGGAACTCGTATAAACATTTAGACAGATACCGAGATCTACTTGATATATCCAGAAACCTCTACCCGTATCTTCCAAGTGACATGGGTTTCTGTTATGGCTTTCCATGGGTCTGCAGCAAGGGATATCTGGGTGATGATACAGCGCCCGCTCAATATCGGAAGCAAATGCACCGTCGGCTCCTGCCCGAAGTGTAGAAACAGCAGAAACAACGACATGTAGGCTTGCCTCTATGGTCAGCCAAGTGATAGACATGTTTCCCAGATACCCGGCACAGGCTCGGTCCACCTGTTCATTGGGTAGTGGAATACACGGGGGTGGGAGCAGATAATCTGCAGGTCTTGGTGGTATCACATCACCTTGCGGGGAACCTGGCTCTCATAGTGACATGTTCGAACATTGATTGTCCAAACTCGCGCTCTTTGTATCTTCTCGCGGTCTTATTCACCCGTGATTGGCTTCCTTCAACTTGCGCGGTCATGCAGTTCTCTGCCAGGCATTGAGTTGCATGTTGATGCACCGCGGTCCCGTGATAGTCACACAGCGTATGCAAGAAATACATCCAGGCCTTAGGGTGACAGTTGGTTTTGTTGTCGGACTGGAGGCCGATGAGGCCTCTTTTGTGGATACATAGCCGGGCTGTCGGACAATACTCCGACCGGCCCCAGTTCCCGGCCGTCTAGATTCCACTTACCCCGAGCCATTCCTGCTGTGGGACACATGCTAGGAAGAAATGATAACATGGCCCCGGATTCGTCTTCGTGCTATTTTTGGTGCAAAAAAGGCATCCAGGCCTCTTCAATTAGCACCTTTAGCATTTTTCAGCTACACATCGCCATCTCCTCAACTGTGCATACCAACAACATGACCCGGACAAACGGAGCCTCGAAGCCTTACAAGGCCGCCATCATCCAAGACTTCTCGACTACTAAGCCCTGGGGCCAGATGACGATCGATGCTACGGCGAACTTCATCCGTCGCAGCATTACCCACGCTCAAGTTGATCACTATCGCGCAGCTGATGGCGAGACCCTGCCCCCGGCCAAAGACTACGACCTGTTCGTTTTGACGGGAGGAACCGTGAACCTGCTTGAGGAGGAGAAGCCGGAATGGGCGTTGCGCGTGCTTGATTTAATCCGCGATGCAGGCGCACTCCCTGACACTAAGCTTATTGCATTTTGCTGGGGACACCAAGCGGTTCACTATGCCTTCGGCGGGGTCTTGGATGTCCTTGTAGAGGGGCCTAGGGTACGTCTAGCTGCTACAGACAACGCCGTATGTGGAGCTGACAACAGACTGTGAAGATTGCAGTTGAAGAGATGCACCTCACGCCGGAAGGCACGAAGCTGTTCGGAAAGGATGTTCTGGTAAGCATGATCTCCGAGCTGTTAGACAAAAGTTTGGCTGACGATGGTTGTCAGTTGTTGCAAAAGTACCACAAGCGCTACATATCACGACTTGCGCCAAATTTCACAGCATTGGCAGAGCGATGTGAGATCGCATGTAGCAGGGAGAAGGGCATCATTACTTTCCAAGGACATCCCGACCTCAGTCGCGAAATCGTTCGGACTCTTATCGACACGGACGACGGGTTGTACAAGCCTTCCGAGGCATTAAACCGCAGTCCTTGCGGCAAGCTGTTCAGCAGTGACACGGCTGACGATGGGGATGAGGTGTGGTACAAGATCATGGACTTCGTGTCAGCCTGATGGACATGCTAGCAACTGCGTCGGAAATTTGTTTGTGGCCGAGATGGATGATGCCTCGTTGAAATCGTATCGTTCTGGATCATTTTGACCCCTGTCACTGGAAGGCGCAAGCTACACCGTCCCCATAAAGCGGACCGTCCCGCCGTCTTGCTGAATAATGTTAAACTTAATAGGAAGACAATTGGCCATAACCTAGCTTATCACTCTGATTCGCAATTTCCAGGGCAATTGACCTCAGAGAAGAACCAAGCTTTGGGGTGGAACTGCGGGCTACCGCGTCTCGCGTTTCGCGAAGCACGTCATATGCGGGACCTATTCGTCAACAAGCTTACGATATAAGACATGCCGAGCATCTTCGGGGAGCCAACGAGGTGCGACATATTTGAGTTCATGTTGGAATAAACACTTCAGATTTCTGATAGGGATTGATCCAGTGGAAAATGGCGCCCAGATACCCAAGCGTAGCCATCATCGGGGCTGGTCCGTCCGGCATATCAGCTGTGAAGGCGCTGAGTGAAGAGAAGGTGTTTGACAGGATCCAATTGTTCGATAGAAGGGAGAAGATCGGAGGGACATGGTAAGTCACTCTCGGTGAATGCGCATGCTTAGATGACTGACATGCCGCTCAGGATCTACGACGAGAAGCCAGAGCCTTTCTCACCACACTCAAGTCAACCAAGCAGGGACCTTCCTTCAAATTTTCCACAATCAGTCCTGCCAGCGTCTGAAAATGTCACTGCCAAAACGGGCATCTACCCTTCCCTGGACAGCAACGTCGGCTCACAAGTCATGGCTTTTACTTACAAGCCGTTTCCCTCGGTGCACTCATCAACGTCCATCAACCGCTTTGGAAAGGCGAATCCGACGCATCCTTGGGAGAAGGTCGCCGGGTACCTGGAAGAGATTGCCGAGCCATTCAATCATCTTATCACCCTCAACACCCACGTTGAGCGAGTTGAGAAAGTCGGGAAGAAGTGGAGGTTGACGCTCAGAAAAACACAGTACTACCTTAAGGGCCAGAAGAGGGACTACTGGTGGCAGGATGAGTTTGATGCTGTGATCGTAGCGACTGGGCACTATGGTGTGCCATATGTGCCCAACATTGCAGGGCTCAAAGAGACGTTTGCTGCGTTACCTGAGAGATTTGAGCACTCGAAGGCGTACCGCTCTCCGGAAGACTACTTCGACAAGGTGAGTCCAACCGTGTCAATTCAAACAATGGAGTCATCATCTAATCACCACCACAGAAAGTCGTGGTTGTCGGCGGCAACGTCTCAGCCTCAGACACCGTCTCGGAAATTCACAACATCGTCTCAGGCCCTCTCTACGTTGCTCAGCGCGGGTACAACGAGATTCTCAAGGACGCATGGGAACTCCCCAACGTTGTTCTCAAACCCGAGATCACGAAACTCTCCGTCGGCGCAGATAACCTCGTCAAAGTCACCTTCAAAGACGGCACGGAAGTAGACGGCATCGAAAAGGTCCACTTCGGCACGGGGTACCGCCTCTCATACCCGTTCCTCGTCCCGGACCCCGTCACCCCCAGCGGCCGGCTGTCGGGTTTCTACCAGCACGTGTTCAACATCGCCGACCCCTCACTTACGGTGGTCGGACAGGTCAAGGCCGCCATCTCGTTCCGGGTGTACGAGTACCAGGCCGTCGCTGTGGCGCGGTACTTTGCCAACCGCGGTGGGGGTCTGCCGTCGCCGCGGGAGCAGGACGAGTGGGAGGTGAAACGGCTGCAATATAAAGGGCCTACGTCGCAGTTCCACGAGATCAAACCTGACTTTAAGGAGTATTTCGACTTTTTGAAGGACGTGGCTGGGCCGCCTGCGGGGGGGACAGATGGGTATGAGTTGCCTGCGTGGGAGGATGAGTGGGGGCTGTTGGGATTCGGTGTGTTGGCCTTGAAGCAGAAGTGGTGGAGGGAGTTGAAGGAGAGAGATGAGCAGAAGAAGCAGATTAAGGCAAAGCTCTAAGCCTACGGTCTTTAGGATTGCCAAGACACAAAGTTTCGTCCATCTATCGCTATTGAGCTAGGTCTTCCATGATGCCATTCCCAGGCGAAGCTTTCCCATCCGCACCATCAACCAACCCCACGAAACCAAACATCGGTCAACTTCCATCGCGCCAAGAAGATGGTTCCCGTGAATGTGGTTCTGCCAGAAAAGACCTACCGAATACGGACATCTTCCCGGGGTATGGATCGACGGCCTCCACTCGGAGGTCCAATGGGGGCCAAGATTCTCGCCGTCGGGTGGATTCAACGGCACTTCCAACGTTGCACTAGCATATTCGTCATTTTGCACCAATATGAGGAGTCATTCCACGCGAGAAAATTTGGAGAAAGAGCTTTTTTTGCAGCAGCGGTTTACAACGGGAATAATCACGATGTGAGCCGAGACAGACTTTATCCGATATAAGGTTGGCTGATCCCACTGGACGTTGCGGCTCACGATGCAACGACTTCATCACGACTAAAGCCTAAAAATCAACGATGGCTGAAGAACCGACCAAGACTCCGGTCTCGGAGGTCCGGGACCACGCTCCGGCGTCTGAGCCGGTAAAGCGTGTCTGGTACCACTCAACGCTGTTCAATGCCTTCGTTATTGGTGGTGTCGGTATGTCTGTCTGTCACCACCGCGCGCAACTTGATTTTAACAATGCTGGATAGGTTTCATGGCCCCTGGCCTCTGGAACGCGATGAACGCTCTCGGCGCAGGCGGCGCTCAGGAACCGTTCCTTGTTAATGCCGCCAACGCCCTGGTGTTCGGCCTCATGGGCTTCCTCTGCCTCTTTGGCGGCCCCATCGCCAACCGCATCGGCCTTGCCCGCACTCTGCTTCTCGGCGCCGTGGGCTACCCTCTTTACTCCGCCGGCCTGTACTGCAACAACCGTTTCGGTAACGTCTGGTTCGTGCTTGTCGGTGCCGCAGCATGCGGCGTCAGTGCTGGACTTTTTTGGGCCAGTGAAGGTGCAGTAGCCTTGGGTTATCCGGAACCGGCAAAGAGGGGCAAATACATGAATATTTGGCTATGGTTCCGCACAGGTGGGCCTCTCGTAGGCGGTGCCATCGTGTTGGCGCTCAACAATGACGCCGGTGCGAAGAAGAAGGGCAAGGTTGGGTACGAGACTTACCTCGTCTTCATCGCGCTGCAGTGCCTGAGTGTACCCCTGGCCCTGGCCCTCTCGCCACCTGAAAAGGTGCAGCGTACCGACGGGAGCAAGGTCATCATCAAGGCTGAAAAGTCCTTCTCGGCCGAGTTCAGGGAGCTGTTCCGCATCTCGAAGAGGAAGGATGTGCTGCTGCTACTACCGATATTCTGGGCGGCGTACTTTAACCAGTACAGCGGTAACTTCCAGTCATACTACTTTGGTGTCAGAGCAAGAGCGCTCATCGGCTTTGTGAGCAATTTCGGCACGCTCTTGTCCAGCCAGCTTATCAGCACTTTGTTGGACTACAAGGGCTTCAGCGTCAAGAAGAGAATCAACATCGGATTCTACTACGTTGTCGTCTGGCACATCATCGCATGGGTGTACGGATGGGTTATCCAGGAGAAGTACACTGCTAACCCGCCGGCATACGACTGGGAGGACAAGGGTTTCACCGAGGGCTTCTTCGTTTTGCTGCTGTGGGACTTTGCGAGACAGGCGTTGCAGAACTGGCTGTACTACCTGCTGGCAACCAAGACGGACAACATCTCTGAGCTTGCTCGTTTCTCTGGTGTACTGAGAGGACAGGAGAGTTTCGCGCAGGCTGTGGCGTTTGGGTTGAACACCAGGAAGTGGCATGGAGGTCGGGTGCCGCTGGCCATTAACACGATTCTTCTGGGTCTTGCTGTGTATCCTACGTGGCTCGTCGTCCGCGACCACGTGCCCATCGAGACGGACAAGCTTGCCAACGTCGAGGAGGGTTCTCAGGGAGAGTTGGCCGAGACGAGGTTGTCTGCGGATGAGAGGAAGGACTTTGTCATTGGACAGACTGGTATTGGAAGAGATGCTAAGATCTGAGGGCTTAGATCGATTGTAGTTTATATCATTTAGTTGGACAAGAACTAAGCTAAACTGAGCTTTTGCTACCTTTGACATTTTCGCCTCTGGCAAGAAAGATTTCCCCGGACTGTGGGTAAAACTTACTACCTAGTACTTAGACTGCGTGAGGTGGGTTTTGACGATTTTGTAATTACTGCTGCTCTTGGTCTCCTTGGTATCCATGTCAGCCTTGGTATTCATCGTTCCTGGTATTTGTCGTCGACCTATAGTGAAAGCCATTGCGAGCGTATTACAAAGACGTCCTACGTTGTCTAGAAACTCTTCGTCAGACAGCCGTAGGACCGGATACCGTCGACACTCAAACACCATCCTTGCGCGAACCTTCGCCCGAAACGTTTTTAGGAGAGATTTTTCTATTGGGCGCTAGAAATCCGCATTCGTTGGGAGATAGAGAAGCTCAGCCGGTTGAGCTGAAAGTTTCCCGCCCTGTCATGGCCGGCGCCACATCTTTCAATACGTTAGATACATTCCGATAATTCATGACCGCTTCGTGGCTGAAAGTTTCCATCCTATCGGGAAATGCTATCGTTCGGCTCACCTTGATCCCATCATCTTGGCCCATGCATACTTCCCCGTTAGAGGCAGTCAAAAAGGTGTGCCCACAGGCGGCAAACTGTGAAGAAAGATTAGAAGGGGAAAAGGACCTTGATGACACACCTTCCGGTGATCGAGATTGCACAAAAAGAAGATTTCGACTTCTGATATCCCACAGCTCGTCATTTTTTATTCCATCCCCTATTGAGAAAAGATAAAGGAGAAAATTTTGAAATTACCCAGAACCAAACCACCAACACCAAGAAATCTGCAACAATGGATGTTACCCTTCCTCCTTTACTTGAATCGATTATTGAGTTCACGGTGACCGCCATAGCAGTCATATCCCTCATCGTCACCATCGGCGGGGTCTGGGCCATGGTCGTCGAGGCCTTCGTCAGCAACTCCGACAATTTCATCCGCCGTGGCCGCCAGCTACAAAATTGCCTACACCTACCGCAGCGACTATGTCTTTTCGCCGACACGGACCCGGGTATGTCGGAGGACACTGTCCGCTTCATCGGCGCGGCGGCCCTACCCGTAGGCGTGATGCTCGTTGCCATCATCGGATGGGGCATTTTCTTGGGTGCGAGACACGAGGAGCCGGATAGATGGTTCTGGTATCTGGTCGCGTTGTTCGTGGGGTGTCTGGTTTGCCCCTGGGGGCTGATGCTGGCGGCGCGTAGCCGAGAGGCGAGGATGGGCAGGGAGGCGGCGGAGGATGGTGGCGAGGCGGGGTATGCTTCGGCGCCGCGGGTGATGGATGACCGTTAGGAGGCTGGGGGCCATTAGAGGTATCAGGTGATGGGGATATCGATGGAGGGCATGGTGTTGTGGAAGGTGTGACGACGAAGCGAAGAAGAGATTTGACAGCAAGAGGCTCTGCTAAGGAGGGACAGGCTCGGGTTACGATGGCCTACCAACTCCAGAGTTTTGCAACGTACCTACGCCCCGTTAGAGTCAGTGGAAACTAGATTGTTGGAATTCATTATATTGCACCGTAACGGGACATGGCTCAAACCTTCTGGCACCACGGGATTGCGTTATCTGACGATCTCGTTATCGTCAACCTTGATGGCATTGTCATTCCACCGGTCATGGCACAGAATAAACGTTCTGAGGCTCCCAGTCGTTCCTTTCAGTCTATCATCTCTACTTCAAATCATCTACAGACGCGAAAAGCCGCATCCATCTGAATGAGCAGCAAACCGACTCTGTCCCAACCAATCTTGCACCAACAATGTCGGACGTCACTTGCCTCGAGTATCTCGGAATACTCCTAATCAGCGCGCTCGTCTTCATAACTACCCTCCTCATCTGCGCCGAGCTCATCGACACCTTCACCGAAACCTCATGCCCCTCCATCCCCTGCCGCCAGCGCGCCCAGAACCTGCACCGCCTTCTAGCAAGCCTGCGCGTCTTCCCGGACTCGAATCCCGGCATGGGGGACAGGGCCCTCCGCTTCATCACCGACGCCGCGCTGCCGCAGGGAATAGCACTCCTCGCCCTCTCCGCCCGAGCAACCTACCTGGCTGCGAGGCACGAGGTGCCGAGTCGGTGGTTCTGCTACCTGCTCGGGATACTGACTGGGTGTGTTGTGTTTGAGTGGGCTTTGCTGGTGGGTGACCACAGGGCGCGGGCTCGTAGAGAGAGGGCGGTGGCAGCGGCGGATGCTGGGAAAGTTGAAAGTGTGAATGGAAAGGTGGTAGATGAGAGGGCGCGGACTCATAAGGCGAGGGCGGCGGCAGCGGTGAATGGGCCGTATGAGCAATGCTTGTACCCTAGCGTCGATTTTAGGGGGGTTAATGCGCCCGCATATAAGACCGAATTTTTCGGGCAGCCAGTATTGCAGCGTTGTTGAGGAGTCATCGAAAAGCAGACGACAAGACTATACAGCGGCTGGTGACGTGCGGAGATCGTATCTACGATAAGGTAGTAACAGAAATGAACAACTTTTATATACGCCGGATATAGTCTCATTACAATGGTCTACTACACAGCCTTCGACGCGCGGGACTTGTTGTCCCGATGCCTCTTTTCCTTGGCCGCCGTCTTGCGGCGCTTCATCCACGACTGGTTCAGGTTCCGCCTGTTCTCCCAGAACCACTTCTGGAACTCGCCGGGGGGCACGCCGCTGCCGGCGCCCTCGCCTTCCACGGCGTTCTGCTCGGCGTTGAGCGTGGCCTCGATCTCCTGCTGCGTCGCCTCGTCGTCCTCCTCCTCCTCGTCGGGCTCGTTGCCGATGGCCCAGAACGGCTTCGTGCGGCCGGGGAACGCGGTGTCTGGGGTGGGCGCGGCGCTCCTGACGTTGCGCCAGGCAAACTCCTCCTCGGTGAAGGGAGTCATGGGCATCTGCGGCATTGCGGGCACGGCGTCTTCTTCTTCAATGTCGTCGTTGTCGCCGCCGCCGAAGAAGCTGAAGGGCTGGGCTTCCTTGGCTGGTTGAGGGGTGGAATCACTGTCGGGCTTGGGACGCTTGTAGAGGGCTTCCAGAGGATGGACCTTGGCAGGGGTCGTGGGGGGTATCTTGATCGTCAAGCTGACGTTGGAGCCGGATGACCTGGGGCGAGAGGCGTCGGCAGCCTTGAGGGCGGCGAGCGGGCTGTCGACTACAGCTGGTGCCGCAATCTTGTCTGCATCCTCCATCTCATCATCAGAGTCCGAGCTGTCCTCATCAGATGAAGTCCCGCTACTGCTCGTGGTGTCGTCGTCGACAGGTTGAGCCGGGGGCTTTGACGCTTCGGGGGCTTTCTTTGCAGGTGTCACCGGTTTCGCCTTGGCTTCCTCCTCTTCCTCGTCCGAACTCTCGTCTGATGAAGTATCCTCCTCGGAGGAGGTGCCGCTGCTGCTTGTCGTGTCGTCCTGCGGGGGAGGGGTAGGGGCCTTGGCGGGCTTCTTCTTTTTCTTCGGGGCTTCAGACTCGGGAACAGGCGCAGTCGCGTTTTTCCTAATCTTCTCCGGCTCAATCACATTGCCCTCGGCGTCGACCCAGCCCTTGCCCTCGACAAATTCTGTCGTCAGCGCCTCCGCGGGGGCCGGCTTGGTAGCCTTGAGGAACGTAGGGAACTTGGTGGTCTTCTCGAACTCGTGGATGACGACCTCGCGGGACTTCTTCTTGCGCTTCTTCTTCTCCGGCTCCTCCTCGTCGCCGTCGGCGGCCGGTTTTGTGGACGGGAGTTTCGCGGGTAGCTTCGTCTTCAGCAGACACTCCTCCCTGTCGGTGTACTTGGAGCGCTCCTCGCGCTTCTTTGTCTTATCCTTCTTGTCCTTCTTCTCACCCTTTTCCTTCTTGCTCTTCTTCTCCCGGATCTTGGCCTCCTCCGGGACGGTCCATCCGCGCTTGACCTTGCGGTCACGCAGCTCGACGCCCTCGACAAGGTTGTGGTCGCGCTTTCGCTTCTTCTTGGTACCCTCCTCCTGCTCCTTGGACTTCTTCCTCTTCTTCTTGCCGGAGTCTTCCTCGCCGGGCACTGGGAGGTAGTTCTCCTCAGGGCGGGCCTTTTCTATCCTCATCTTGGTACCCTTCAGCACAGCGCCGTTCAGCCTCTTCTTGATCTTCTCGGCCTCGGCCTCGGGCAGCTCGACGTAACCGTAGCGCTTCTCGGGGAAGGTCTCGATGGTGTGGTAGGAGATGTTGCGGGCCTTCGGGAGGGTTGAGGAGGGGATGATGACCTTGACGAGGTCCTGGTCGAACGGGGTGATGTGCAATCGGGTGTAGTCGCTGCTGGTGTCGGAAGGGCCAGCAGGGTTATCGGAGGGAATCGCGGGGGGCGACATTAGGTATTAACGGTTTGTCGGCGGGGAGAAGTTGTGCAACAGACTCCAGACGCTTTGCTGTGAGCGTCGTCGGCCGTCGATCGTCAAAGAGAATGGTCTTGGAGCTAACAAAAAAAGAATAAGCTGAGCTCGACCAGACGGAAAACCCTTTGTTGCGCAGGGATTTTCATTGGTCGAGGCTCGTTTTTATCTTGGGCCGTGCGTAGCTGACAGCACTGTGCCACAGCACTGGCCGCCAGGTGCTGATTATGTCAGCGACGATTTTGGAAATCAGACCCACCGGATCGAGCAATTGAGTTTGGCTGAGAAAAGAACACGACGGTACAACAACACCACGCTTCATTGTCGACTTAGTATCTCGATGCCAGGCAAGTACTGAGCCTTCAATTGCAACTTGCGCTGTACCGAAGAAAAAAATTCCCGTGGTAGTTGCAAGCGAAAACCATTTTCTCCCCCTTACTTATTTGCAGGCTCTGCAGGTACAGGTGTCGACTGCCCCTTCCTTCTAGCCACAATGTCACCAAACGGGAGTTGCGATGGGAGTCGACTTCCCCCATCATCAATCAAAAGCAGCAAGTCCTGCCTCTTCATGTCTCGGCAGATTCTATCAGCAAGTGAAACTCTCCCTTGAATTCATCCTTCTGCATGAGGTGGACAAAGTCTGCCAGGTATCAAGCCTATATTTCCTCAGCCGACTTCCAGCCCAGGTTGAAGTACTATCCTTGTCTCCTTTGATCGACCGTCCAGACCTCGTCTAACAGCCTCTTTATCAAACGACTCTCGTCCAGAATTTCCTTATTGCATCAAAAGTATGCTGTCTTTTTGGTCCAATTCGGGTCAAAGCAAGGCCCAACCAGCCCAGCCGACCGCAGCCCCAGGCACCTCGGTCAACAAAAATGGCGCTGTCACCCATCATCTCCCTGGCGTCTTTGTCCCAAACTGCCAGGATGGTACTGTCATCTTTCCGACAACTAGGCGAAAGCCTTCTGGGAAGAAACGCACCGTCATTCCACCTCCGCCAACGTCCATCACCAACTGCACTTTGCTGAGCGACGGCGGCGTCGGTCATGTTGCTTGGGCACCGCCTGCAGCCCCTCCCATCCGTCGACCCTCCCGATGCATGAGCGTAGATGCTAATGGCAATGCCATTCCCCCAGACTACGTTCCCAAGGCCGTTGGGGAAACCCTCGACGTTGGAAATCTGGCGAATCCGGCAAAAGGTAAGCTTTCCAGAGTACTCCCTACTGTTGATGTCGCTGATGGGTCTCTCACAGGAATAAAAAACCCTGGGCTTCGGCCTCAAGAAGCATCCAAATCGTCATCAAACATGGCTCCCGGTCAGACTCCGCAGCCAAGTTCGACAAACAAACAGCCACGCAGCAAGTCAGCCGCCCTAAAGGTGCCATCATTCACAACCAACGGTGGAGGCTCCATCAGCAGCTCCAAGCGGCCAGGGTTGAAGGCGCGTGGCAAATCGCATATTTCCATGCATGACATTGTGCGCAAAGTACGGAACCACCTCTCAAGCAACTCCCGACGTCAGACGGGATCATCCGAAGCCTCCGCGCGACCTGCACCAATTGCACAAAAGACACCTGCCGACGATATCGAAACAGCTTCTGTATGCCGCCGTGGCTCCTGTCAGTACGTCTTGAACGACGGTGAAGTTCAAGATGTGGTCGAAATCGTTGTCCACGAGATGTGCAAGCACGGTGTTGGTCCCGTCGACAAAGATCAAGATACTGCTTTGCAGCCAGGCGAGGAAGTTCCGAGACAGGTTGTCCGCAAGCCCAGCTGTCTCATGAATGCCCTTGAACCACAAGTCTCCGACGTGGCGGAACCGGCGACCACCATAAGTCTGCCCGAAACCGCCTTCTTCGCCCGCAGTCAATCTGACGGTCAAATACGCGCCAGGGTCAGGTCATCTAAAGTATCCATGACCACCATCCTATCCAAAGACAATGTTACCGATATCCGATGGGCAGCCGATGAAACAAAGCCCGAGAACGAGTCTCAAGGAGACCCCAAAGATGGACCGAAAGAAAAGCCAGACGGCGAGTCATCCGCTGAGGCCGGCAGTGCAGCAAAGGCCAAAACCGAAGGTGATCAAGAACAGCCGAACGATAACAAAGCGGCAGCACAGAAAATAGAGAACACCGAGAATGATGAGGCTGGAGAGTTTTCAGGTACCCCCGAGACTCCCGCAGCTGGACCGCGACTTCACGAGATTTCTGACTGCGACATGGATGACTTGAGTGATTACGCCATCGACAATCAACCAACAACCAATCCTCCTCCTGCAGAAAATTCGACCACAAAGGATGTTGACACCAAGAGCTCAAACGCCATCAATCCGGAGCTCAATAAAAGCGGTACCGAGGCCAAAACGTCAGACGCTGTGGAACCCAAGCTGGACTCCAAAGAAGCATCGCCTGGAGCAGACCAAGCCGAGGAGTCCCCCTTGAAACAAAACGGTCTTGACGATGCTGAAGGTAGACGTCTGAAACAGGCGTCCAACCCCGATGATCCCACTTCCATGGAGGTTGATGTCACATCTACCGAGGCCGTTGATCCTGCCCCTGCCGGTCCTGATCCTAACAAACTCGACGCCAAAGCGGACGGCATGAAGGCTCCCGATGCTGATCAAGGGGACCCACAGCAATTGGACGTTTCGACATCAGATGATAAGCCGGCAGAATCCAAGACCTTGACATCGAGGTTTTTAGAGACGTTCCTGAAGTCATCAGATGACACTGCCGCCGATGGCGCCTCCGGAGATTCGAAGATCCCTAGGGAGGCGAGCCTGCAGAAGGAGAATAGCATATCATCCATTGATAATGGCCTCGATGATCAGCAGGATGTTACTTCATTTCATCCATTGGGTAAACGCCGTGGCACGCACGAATGGCAAAGCCCTCCGTATGGCGCTATTCCCGAAGAGCAAGAAACGGATGACATGTACCACCTTGGCGTCGATGCCAGACCGGGCGGTGCGGTGCCTGCGACTGACAGTAACGTTTCACGACCAGACCCGACAACGAGATATAACTTCAGCATGTTCAATCGGAGTGTATTTGGAGAAGGCACTCATGACGCCATATCGAAACCTGGTCGTCGAGTATCTGAAGCTTCCATAATGGCCGTAGGAGCTGCTGCTCCCCGCTCGGCGGACAAGGTCCTCTACAGGTCTCGCTCTGCTCATTTTGCGGATGTCTCCAATTCGGATCCTGGATTTCTACAGAAGCTAACTCGCAAGTTGAGCTCCGTCTTCCAGACTCCGCCCCAAACACCTGTCATGCGGGCGCCGGCTCCGTCCCTTGAAAGTACCGCAATTTCGAGGAAAGCTTCCGAGAGCCACATCCCAGGCGATCCGAGTGAAGGGGGCGAGGCAGATCCGGCGGGATACATATCTGAGCCCGAGCCCTCTTCCGTTTATCAGGCAATGACAGTGTCGAAGCCAGCAAAGGCCGAGGCGCAGCGTCGTAGTATCTGCTCAGAGGACAATGCGCCTCAGCGAATCGATGCTGTCACCAGTCTGAAGGGTTTGATGGGATCGGGTGGAAGATGAATGACAGACACGGACCTTGGCAACATGGCTGAGAATGAGTCTACTGGTCGTCGGATGAACCTAGTCGCTATTACTCCACTATCAAATAGTCGGTTACCTATGTGCCATGTCTCTTGTTTTATATGTGTGAAAACTGCTTGAGCTAATGCGGATGCTCGCTAACTACCCAGCACCTCTGGAGTCCCTTGGTCACAGATTTCCGACAGAGATGCAAAAGCTCATAAGGAACACTCCGTCGGACCAGTACTAGGCTGCTTCGGACACCCTTATTTGGATGGACATTAACAAAAGGCAGTCGTGGACTAGTTTGAATAGCTCGGAATGGAAGAAGAACAGCGGCCCATAATCGAATCGAGATTAACAGACCCATTGACAATTGTACCACAAGGACATGAGACTGCAATGTGTGCTAAATGGCGATAATTTCTCGAACGAATTGGAAGGCCATATTTGATAACGGAAAAAAAGAAATGGGAAAGAAAGACGTAAACTTTAGAAGGAAAATGATGTTTTTTGTTGAAAATCCAATTCAGATCAAGCACAGCTCGTTTCTCCCATTCGCCTCGTTCCTCTTGACCCTGACCCTGTATGTCAGCTTGCCATCGGCCCCGGATGTCCCTGCCATAATCATCTTCTCCACGGCCTCATCATTTTTATCAGTGCTCTTATCGATCAAGTCCTCCGTCTCAGAAGAAACAACCTGACTTGAAGAAGCCCATACGTTGCCCAGCCAACTAGCCTTCGTCCACCTCAGAAATAACACAGTTATGATCGTGAGGAGAATCAAATGGGCAGCTATCGTGACGGCCACGACGATGAAGCCAGTCCATTGTGTCGGTATGAGTTTATCGCTCGACATGATTATGACAGCCGATGACTCATTATTGAAATATGGAGAGTTTTCGTAGTATGTCATTTGTCGAAGAACTGTGAAAAGTGCTTGGAGGGCTTGGGACAAACTGTTGGTAGTTTTAATGATGTCCTGGAATAAAGCAGCATGTGCAAAATGCACGGCGTAGGGAGAGAATGCGCCTGGAAGTAGGATACCCCCTGCTAAAACCTCATATTTGTCAGAGGCTCCGTTCAAATTCACGTAATGCAGTCCACCAGCGACGCTATTGAAGAGCATCCAGTAGTTGAGGGTTTGCGAAGAATCTGTCATCTCGCTTGGTTTCATACCATCTCGAAGTTCCCAGCTCGACTTTGGATGCAAATCTAGTATGCCTCTCAAATGTGGAGAGGATCGGCTGTCGCCAAAGTTCATGTACTGATCCCGAATCAAGGCTGTGTCATACAGCGAATTGTCTCTATCCCAGGACAAACTCGGTTCAAACCCATTATGATCGCCGGACATGCTGACGTTTTGATAGACTCCCGGAAGGTTCGTAAAGCATGTGCTGATCGACACGCTGGCGTTGATGGAGCCGGATGGTGGGCGGAAATGTACCCAGGTCCCTTCCTCGGATACCGTCCAATTCAATTGCTTAGCGGAGGCCGAACCTTCCTGGTCTCCAGTGCCCCCATTGGTTCTCAGATATCTGCGCCAATCTTCGATCTGCCCTGTGGTGTTGAAAATAAGAAAAGTACTGGTCTTGTGATTTGGGACAGGAAGTACTGTTGACAGAAGCTGAGGCACCTCTACATACTGACTGGCTTTGGTCGAAGGTCCGCCTCCAGCTGAACAAATCGATATTGGCCAATATTTAGCCTCTTCAGCGGCTTTGGGTGCGGAAGCTATGCATTTGAATGGCCGGCCCTCCCATAGCGGCCAGTAGTCGGGGTTGAATAGTGCGGTTGATCTGGGAATCCTGAAGGTGCCTCCGATAGTCAGATCATCAAACCGATTAGCCAGGACGCTTGCTCTCGCATCAAGATTTTGCACCATTGCCGAAAACACAATGTCCATGTCGGGAAGCTTCGGCCGTGTGCACACCACCCTCGAGTCGAACACGACACTAGGGCCTTCATACCTTCGCAAATTCGTGCGATCAACAACACTAGCGAATGGCAGAATTGCTCGCAGCGCTGTTCCCGAGTCTTCGAATATATCTACATCAACATCTGGGACAGAAGCATTCTTATGCTCGGCAAAACGGAAATAAGTATTGGGCTGAGAATTCCAGATTTTTGATCCTTTGAGGGTGCCAACTCCAGAGCTATCACTAAGGTCGGTGACAATGCCGATGCCAATCCCTTCTTCCGGTTGGCTACTGCCGTAAATCGATATAATAGTCCTTTGGGGTGCAGTGATGTTGGTGTTCTTGAAATCGATCAGAAGTGCCGTTGACGTGAAGTTTGAGGCTCCGGTCAGAAAGATTGCAAGGCCGATAGCAACTGCAAAGGGCGTCGTCAATGTTTTCCTCGATGCCAGATTATACGGAGATGTGGACACAGCCCTGAGCATTGAAATGAGAGGGACCGAGATCATAGGTACGCCAGTTCTTTCGATCAGAAGGGAGGCAATCATGCCAGTGAGTATGCCCATATGAAATCCAAGACAGACACGAATGACAGCGGCTGTGACAGTCACCGTCACCGACGTCCAATCCCCATGGATTATGAGATCCCACAGTTGACCATTGTCAATGTGTCCAGCTTGAGCGCGCATCGATGATCGCCAGATGTGGGCAAGCAGAGCTATGCCCATTACAATGCCGATTGTTCCCAGGACTAGAACGCAAATGGCGAATACGCCGAGTGCGTTCCATCGAGCTGGGAACGAGACATTTGTTGGCATCTCTTTTGTAGACCCATCTTCGTTCAACAGAGATGTTTCGGCATGAGCCTCCAACTGATTAGGTACATGCTCCGTGACGTCCTGTTGCTGAAGTGTTTCATGCGGGCTCTGTAATGCTTACTGGCGTGGACTAACAGGTGCCGATGGTGAGTTTTCATTGTGCGGGTGGGTTTCTTCAACCGGAAAAGTCCGGGAAGAAACCTCGAGATTGCTGCTGTCGGATTCCCGGCTGCGGGGACGTTGCGGTGGTACTAAAGGGTCCATGTTGAGTGCAGAAACGATTGTGTTGAAGGTAATAAGAGTAGGGTGGGAACGAAGATAATAGCAGAAGGTAAATTTCTGCAGACTCACATTGTGTTTGAAGACAGAGAAAGCCGTCTGCCAAGCGAGGCGGGGTTTGCTCTTGGCAAGAAGCTGAAATGTTGTGTAACCAGCGAGCATCAGAAGGGTGTTAGTGATTGGTATCGCTAGAAATGCCAAGTCTCATGCTGAGTTATTTCAAGATCACAGAACTTGCTTTTTCTAGCCTGACCCAGCCCCCAACAGACGCAAGCACGCCGTCGCGAAACGTCGGCAATAGTGAAAGATCCAACGCTATCAGTCGTCTGGGAATCATAAAACCTTTTTGACTCCATCGGAGGGAGAGCTTGTTCTAAGCCCAAGGGACAAAGCGGCTACTAAATGACATTGAAAGAGTGCTTCCCAAGGGTATGCCCACCATGTCTGCTGGAGCTCTGCTCACACCTTCGCTCAGCCAATACCGGATACGTCGACAGAAGGCCCCTTGCAAATCAACTTGTGCGGCACGTTCTCAAATGTAACAACACGCAGCTTTGACATACGGCTGTGTTCCCACATGGACGCCTAGGTAATGAAAAGGCCGCAAGTCCAGTAATCATGTCGAGACGACAGAATAAGGGGGTTTATTTTTTAATGCTCATGCTGGATTACTATGATCTATCCACAAGATGAATATTCAGACCATTAACTTGAATCGACTACCTCTCATCTGTCTTATACTCTTTCTGCATCATCGCAACATTAGTCGATCTTATGATTCCTTTGATATTTGTTGATGGATGATGTCTATGTCTACTCGTCCTCAATTACAAGAATGTAATTGTGCAACATAATAGGTACCTAGGTTTGCCACGCCTACCCCGCCTCAGCCCAACTTCAACCATACACCCATTCAAAACCATCTAGCTATCTACTAACACCCGAATACCCTTAGTATTTGGCCATGGAGACAGAATCGTGTTCTCTGCATAGAACGCGACGTCGCGTACCGAGGTATCAACCAGTCGCAGCTTATGTCTACGGATGAGGGTAGCAAATCCGATATACAGTTCCGAGTACGCCAGGTTCAATCCAAGACACATCCGCGTACCCCGCCCGAAGACGGTTAAATAATGAGTGAGCGGATGAATGCCATCAGGCCCCCGGGGGTCACCGAGCCAGCGGTCCGGCCGGAAGACGGTCGGGTCTGGGAATACGGTCTCGTTCATGAGCATGTGGTATTGATCCATGCTGACGGCGACATTGGCCGGGATGATGGTGCCTTTGTAAACCCAAGGGTTTGTCGGGTTGCGGTTGATGCGGACTAAGCGTTCAATGACGCCCATTCCCATTCTTAGAGCTGGAGATGAATTAGCATGACTAGATAACTTCTGATCGAAGATAAGAGCCAGAGACAGGGTCTGCGGGTGTACATACTTTCTTTGACAATTGCGGTAAGATATGGTAGTGTTTCCAATGTCGCCCACGGGGGAATCTGATTCGCATCGGGTATCGCGCTTTTCAGCTCATTTTCCAATCTAGCACAGACCTCGGCATCGTGCAAGATGTAGAAGCTGCCCAAAGCTAGCGTCCAGGCAGTGGTCTCGAGTCCGGCACCAATAAGTGATTCGGCCTCGTGCTGCATGCGTTTATGTTCGAGTTCCTCACTGGGGAGGCTGGAGGCTAGCATCTCATGGAAAACAGTTGCGTGACCGGTCTGCCCTAGCCGCGGCTTCTCATTGACGCCCCCGGTAGCTTGATGGCTAGCGCGGATGGTGGCAGTTTGTCGGGACATTTCCTGATGTATCAAGTTCAGTACAATGTGGGTTTGATCCATGCAAAGAGCTCGTGAAGCTTACCTCCCGGTACGCGATGATGGGCTCAAACGGCGGAAACAAACGTTTCGCCAGCCAATACGGCAGACTATCAGTTGCCGCCCCCAAGATTGGCAGGTAGCGAGTGACATGGGACCAGTTAGTGACCC